TAACATACAGTAAGTATCTATCCAAACCATTATGTAACTTTAATGATTAAAATTATGAATTATGTTGCCATTACAGTATCATGATCAAGGCAGAAATGTCACGGTACAACATAGATGTTAATAAGGTACATTCCACTAACTTGATTTTAAACTGAGGACAGTGATAGATTACAGAGAACAATATTTTCTGTAATTTACTTTTACGTTTATTATGTATACATAACAGGTGCTATGCATCTGAGGCAACACTTTCAGATCTGTCACTTTGTGTTGTTGAAATCAATTATCAGTACAGTACTAAAGAAGATAAAACATAGATTACTGTGATTCAGCATTTAAAAAAATGACAAAAATGGTATTAAAAAAATTCTGCTCTTACTAAAGCAATAGGTGAAGTTTTTTGTTGTTGTTTTTGTTTTGTTTTGGTTTGTTTTGGTTTGGCTTTTGTTTAACCTAAATAAATAAACAATCTTTGGAGATTTTTCTTGAAATCATTGTCTTTTTTAGCATAGTATGAAGATTTGAATTATATTTGCCCTACAGTAGCAGCAACTAACATTGGACAAAAAATTCAAGAAGTCTTTCGTAACTCTCTTAATAAATAGATTGATAGAATTTGCTCAAACTGTGGATGCTTAAATACACAGTTTCTACCCTGAAGCTGGCAGGCTGTTGACAGATGTGTCTTTGCATTAGTTTCACTAATACAAACACTTCTTCTGAGGCTTTATGCATTGCTTAAGGTGTAGATGTTGTATGAGAGTGACAGTTCATGTGCAAGATCTCCTGCCATTTGCTTTAGTTTAGCTGAGCAGGCATTTTACATCCAAAGGCAAAAAGCAGACAACTTCCATCTTTGATTATACGTACGCAACATGTACAAGTGCTGAAGTTGACTGTGACTGGCATGTGACTTGATCTGTGATGCACTGGTATAAAGCTATTTCTTTATTAAACTAGTCAGGTACTCACTTTTTTTTTTAGTTTGTTGTTGTTTTTGTTGTTGATGCTGTATAGATAAATTTGAATCACTGCTTCCAAACTCTTTACTAAGACTTCCTTGTGCCCCCATGGCACTAAGACTTCTATGTGCCCCACTGTTATGGCATCACTCTCCATAGAATCCTACCACACACAGCTGCTAGGCAGCCTATAAAAGGCAGCATCAAGAAGGTCATTTCCACTGGGAGTTCAAGTAGCACAAAGCTTCACAAGGAGGAATAATAATATCTTTGAATGGTAACAATTCTAGATGGGTGTCTTCCGTGAGTCTTTTTTCATGCTGGCAACCTATATCTCACAAATTTTCCTTGACACAGCTACACTGGATTACTCACAGAACTGCACACTATGCAAGAATCATCAAAGGAAATAAAATGGAAAGAAATGCTCTTACTTCAGATTAGTAGGAAGGCATCACCTATGTTCACTCTATGTTCATGGCAATAGAGGCAATAACTACTATAGACAGTAATGGAAAATGTAAACATATAACTTGCTATCTCAACATTAAATGTGCTGTCACTGAAAGAAATATTTTTTGATACTTATAATTACATGATTAGCAGGCAGATTATTTTTCAGCCTTTCACTTATACTAGATTGGATGGTTGGATAAAACATTGTAATGATTTCCTACAAAAGGCAAATTAAAGAACATAAAGTTATATTTACAACAGCAGTTGTAGAAAGCAGGGGTATCATTTCATCATCTTATTCATAGTCTCCATAATCTTTTTCTTGAAATGTTATAATAAATGCATTTTTAAATGGAAGAAAGACATGAATGATGGAAGTGGAGGACAAAATGTCATTTCACTGTAATCTTTAGACAGGATTTTAAGACCAATTTTATTCTTTCCCTTATAGGCTCATTGATTGCATAAGGATAAACATTTTTGATAAACTGTCATAAAATGAAGCCTGTGAAACACGCACAGGAACATATGAACACCCTTTTCACCTGCCGTATTTTTAAATGGAGACAAAGACATAACCCTGAAATGAGAACTATTAAAAATGTGATGGGATATTCATCCATGCAAAAAATATTCCTGTACATACTCCATTTCCCTAAGGTACTGAAAGATCAATCTTTCATTTCATTTTTTTTTTTTTTTCCTTTATATTCAACATTGTCCTCTTATTCTGAGTGACCCGTTTGAAAAGTTTTTCTGCACTAAACTTCATTGTTCTCAATGATGTATGTGATCTCTTCTACTTTTCCCTTTTACAATTAGGTCATTGGGTGCTCTCCAGTCATGAGGCAAAAAAGGGTAAACAGAGAATTTACACGAGAATTTTAACTGCTACGGACACTGTACAAAGAATGAACAAAATGTTGCAGTCCCTAATATATTTCAATGTTGATGAAACATTGTAGTTTCAGAACTAGTAGGATAATCCAAAAATGATCTTGTATTTAGACTCAAGTACAACAACAGTATGTTGTTGCAACAACACAAATCTGCTCCTGAAAAAAATTCTGATTCTATGATTCTGTGATTCTATGAAAATGTCAACAGATTATGCACTTTGTAAACAGTGCCACTGTGTGTATACCGACTTTCAGGAGGAACTTCTGAGGGAGGGTATTAAGGCACAATGGAAGAAATCATTGTCTGCCAAGATGTTACAGTCTTAAAACCAGGTTCTCACTATCAAAAAAACATAGTTCTGCTGAAGAGAATACTGTAAGCCTTATGGAAACTGAAGATCCCTGCTTTCTACCATAACTGGACTGAGTAACTGAGAACTGAAACTAACAAACTTCCAAAGCAAATTATCCCAATATTTTTCAGATTCTGATGATGCCATTAGATCACTCTCTGAAACTTTCTTTTTATGTATTCTTGTTTATCATGTATCTCTTCTGCTCCTTTATTTTTCATCTGATCCCAGACAAAGCTAACTGAACATAAGAACCTACATCGGAAAAAATAATGCTTAACACTTCACATAACATCAGGGCTGAAAGCTGCCATGGTGGTCACGGCAAGTTTGCAGAGTAGCTTTCCCACCATCTGCCACATGACACAGTTAGTGCAGCCCACTTTAAACTATGGAAGATTTTTACTTTCCTAGTGTTTGCCTACTTGCACTTCAAATTCTATAAAAAAAATAAAATCCATAAAAAGTCCACCTCTTTCAGTTAGATTACTTTGACACATGGACTATTTCTGCTTGATAGCTGCGTACTAATAAGAACAGCATATCTCATTACTGTTTGTGATGAGGGCAAAACTGTAATAGCCATATGAGTAAGTACTGAACATATATACATACAAGACCTTTGTTTCTATGTCTTGATTAATAAATACCGCATGTGTTCAAGCTCTAATGTAAAAGCCTTTAAACAATCAGTGCCTCATATAATTTATCATCCACCATCATACAAACTATACAATTCGTATTAAATATATATGTATCTATAAAATAAGTGAACATTTGTTATCAGTAATAGTTTCACTGCAGTGCCAGTTATTTTACAATATTAATACCTACTTTCCAAAGTCTAGTACAACCCAACAATTTCTAACCTGTGAACAACGCTCTTTAAGATGCTTTTCCAAGGCCTCTATATGAAATGAGTATTTGTGTTACTGTTTCTCACACTGTTAATCCTGCAATAGGGATATGGAGTTGATATGGAATACCAATGCCATGACTACTGTTTTCCCTTCAAACTTCAAAGAATGGTTTTGAAACAGTAACAGTATAGAAATTACTTAATGTCTGCATAAATATGTAAAGCTGCAGAAACTGCTTACAATAGGGGCCTTGAAGGGTATAACCAGACAAACCCTTAGCTGAAAGTCACCACAAAATATCAAACAGGGATAAACCCACTTTATTCTGTCCAGTCTGTACTAGAGAATATACTTCACAGATTATTCACAGATATTCACAGTATTCACAGATAACTGAACATAAAAAGTAAAAATTACTAAAGAACCTGAATGGCAGCTCTCCTAGAGCTCTCACAAATAAGATACTGAGCCTGCAACTGACAGAAGGGAATAGACTCAGACAAATGGACTGCCAAGTACATGTTAAATATTGTGGTTTTGTTTGTTTGTTTGTTTGTTTTTAATTCACCAAGACTACTTCCTTTCATTCATAAATAATGGATTGATTCACAAATCAAAAATCTTACTTCTCAAGGAGAAGGGATACTGCAGAAATAGCAAATTTAAATCCTGGTGATGTTAGTCCTTTATTACTCCTTTATTGCTGTCTCTATCTAAATCCAGCATCCTTCCTCTGGCCCTGTCAGAAACAACCTCCAGCACTTGTATAACTTCTTGATAATCCTCCCTATCCAAAACAAAACAGCAAAAAATGGATTTATGGTCTGAAACCTTTCACTCTGGAAGAGATAAAAGATGTATGTACAGACTGGGACACAAGATTATCCACGGAATCATAAATGGCCAAAAAAAAAAACAAAAACAAACAACCCACAAGGATCAAAAATGACATCTAAATCATGCCACTGCAAATCTGCTTTCAGCTGCCTCTCAGAAGGTATATGCAGTAATTCCAATATAAATACACTACAGTGTGCCACAAGAGCTTGGAGCTATATTACTACAGAATATATATATTTTTTAATTTTCTGAAGAATTGGTAGTAGCTGTTTTATTGCCAATTAATTGCGATGTTGTACTGGGTCTGGCGGTAAAACCACCACAGATATAAAATGTAAAGTGCAATCCAAATTCTGAATAAGGATTTGTTGTGTGTTGTATTTTTTTTTTCTCTTCTGAATCTCAGTAAGACTGTAATTTGGATTCTTCTTTTTCCAGACAAAATGATGAATCAAATGACCCTTGCTTTAGACAGCAGATATTTTGTGACTTTTCAGTAAGATGTGCAAAAAGACTGCATACATAGGAATTTCTGATGGGTGTGTCAGATCTCATGCTGTACTGATAGTCAGCTGTACAACTGCATACTAAAAAAAAAAAAAAAAAGAAAAGAAAGCAAATACTTCTTACCATGAAACCCTCAGTGTACTGAAACTGAGCTCTGGAACTGTCTTCTGCTGTGGGACTCAGGGGCTTAGGATCAGACATAGAGCGTTGCATCATCTTTGCCGCCTTTGGGCTTGATGGAGGAACCTTGGCAATGTCAGCATGTAGCATCTTCTGAGGGCTGATGTCATCAGTGATGGGTTTTTCATAGGGTACAAATGCTGACTCGATAACTTTGCTTGGTGAAACAGGTGAAATAGGTGAATAGAGAACTTTGGGAGATTTGGGAGGGGAAGGGACTACCTGCAGTGTAGAGTCTGGACGAAGGTGGGCTGAGTAGCCTATTTCTAATGGTGTTGGGCGTTTTTTATCTTTCTGGGGGGATGAAGCTGACAGATATTGGGGACTTTGAGTATCTGACTCTGTCTCTGTTTGACATCCCAAACTTTCTCCTTTATATGTCTTTTCTGGAGCTGAAATGTGCTTTATGATTTCAACCTTAGCATCCAATCGGGCCCTGATTGAAGGTGTTCTTATTGTTCCTACAGGTTCTGTTTGTACTGAAATCTCTGCTACTGTCTGAACTGCAATACTAGATACTTTGGAGAACTGTTTAGTTTTGTCTGCCTCAGTGGTACTCTCACTGTATTTCCCTACACGAGGCTTTCTTCTGGATCTGCTAGAAAGGTCCCATTCATCTTGATCTTCATCATCTGTCTGAACACTTGTATCAACACTCTTTTTAGTTCTCCGTCTCCTGTTTGTGTAACCTCTGTCTGCTCCGTCTTCATCATCAGTTTGCACTCCACTGTCTACTATCTTTTTGAAACACCTGGGCTCATCTTCCAGAGTCTCATCCAGCTCCTCATATGGACCACGTAATTTTGGCATAGAACTTCTCTTTTTCAATTGCTTCTCCTCTCTAACATCAATATCCTTAAGAGACATTTCTGAAACAGAGCTTAGGATACCAGACCTAGGTATATATTGGGTAATGCCATCTGACTGAACTGTATACCATGTTTGGCTTTGTGGAATTTCAATACCCAGCACTCCTGAAGCTGTAGTGGTTACATCATCAGTAGGCCAAAACTGTCCATTTTCTGTGGTTGCATACTGTCCTTCCAGGAGTGTTTGATCTGTGGTTGTTTGTGGTGAGCCAGTCCCTGAAGGGTCATAACCATATTGATATATTTGACGTATTTTTTGTTCCTCTAACTGTTGATGGAGCTGTTGTTGAAGTTGTTGGAATTGTTCAAGTTGCAACTGTTGCTGTGCTAAAGTCTCTTGCCTCATCATAAACTGAGCTTGCCGTTCCTCCTCTTGCTGAAATAAGAGATGATGTTTCATGGATTGCAACTCCTCAAGCTTTTTTTGTACCATAAATTTCTCTTGTTCCCTGAATCTTTGAATTTCCTGACGTTCCCATTCCAGCTCTTCAGCAAAGCGCTGTTGCTTAATTTTCTCAAGCTCAAGAAGTTCACGCTCCAAATCAAGCTGTTGCTGTTTGCCTTCTTCAGGGGCAATGAGAAGACCAACCTCATCTTCGATTACATCTGTATAAACTTCAGATGCTGTTGCAGGTATTAAGTTAGTTGGCTCAGTGGCAATAGTTTCTAGAGTAAGAGGTGGCAAGCCTGTCTCAATATCAAGGGCAGTAATTGCATCTTTTTCCGTTGCCACTGTTGTCAAGAAACTGTATGACCTTGGGAGAGGTTGACTCTGTTGCAAAGTTGATAAGGAGGGCACTGAGTCAATTGTTTGGAGAGTAGGCAAATCTCTGACACTTGTACTGAAAATAGAACCGGGTTGTGTAGTGATGGCAAATGTGGATGGGATGGGAGTTGCTACTGAAGAATAAACAACACCATTGGATGATCTCAAAACACTTCCAACGCCGAATGGGGAACCCAGAGATGATACCATTCTTGCTTGGGAATACTGTGGTGTACTGATACCGATGCCAGAAATTACCTGCCGAGTCTCTGGGTAAGGACCAGTGGTCTTGCTTGAGTAATCCATAACCTCACCTGAAATTACAGGGCAAAATTACAGTCCAGTCCCACAAAAGAATGCTGCTTTGTGGATTCTGAAAGTCATCCCATCTTGATGAATTAAATGGAAAGGGAAAACTGCATGCAAATCTTCAAGTAACTGATCTACTTTAGATGTGAAGGAAGCATTTCTGAACATGCAGGCACATGCAGGCACCTCTGTGCAAAACATATATGTAAAATGAAGACATGAAATACAGGTGTAATCCAGAATAATTTGTCACACTGTCCAAAAGAAAACAAAACAAAAGAAGGAGGGGAAAAATAAAAATACATTTAAAAATCATCCTAAAATGAGGTGAGGAACATCAAAATCATATTTCAAAGAAAGATCTGCTGCTGTGTCATACTGACCTGTAGTAACTCTTCCAGAAGTAAGATCTACTGCTGCATCAGTTGCCCCAACGCGATAATCAAAGCTATTCTTGCTTTTGTATGCAAACAGTCCAGCTTCTGATAAATTCGTGTCAGACATAGATGGTTTCATACCTCCCATTCCTCGATAGCCATATGATCCTGAACGATCATACTGATAATGGTCATCTCTGTAACCAAAGCGATCTTCAGGAAGCGTAGTTGGAGGCTGCTGTGCTGTACAGCTCCTACCAAATGGAAATTTATAAACCATATCACAGCAGACAGCTCTTCTCCCTGCAGTGAGATCCACAGGCTTTTCATCATCTTCTATTACTGTAGTTATGACACCTGAAGTAGTTTCATCCATTGTTACTATTGTTCTGTGGGATTTTGTAGTGCTAAGGTCAACTGCTCCACTCTCCATTGGCTCCTGAGAAGTCGAGATATCAGTCCAACCATTTGTAACACCAACAGGTGGTACAGTAACAGGCTTTGTAGTAGCCCATGTCACTGCATGTGTTGAAGTACCTAGGGATAAATTTATTGGCACTTCATCTCTACTTGCAGAGAACGTCTGGCTGTCTGTCACTCTGTATGCAGGCTCAAAATGTTTTGATGTTGTTAGCTGCAGTGGAGTTGTCATTGCATGTCCCAGATCCACGAGGCTGTCTGTACTGGTAGTGTAGCTTACAGTGGCAGTGCAGGTCATGACAGTTACTGTCTCAGTGACTACAGACAGAGAAGGATCTGCAACACATGTAGTGCTAAGATTTATTATAGCTGGCTGGACTGTACTTACTGGCCGCCCACATGTGTCACTTGCTGGCATTAGCCTTCTCACATCCATGGAAACAGCAGACAGATCCATACAGCTGTCTCGCACTTCAATATCCATCTTAGTTAAAGTGCGAAGATCAATGACATCACCCAAAGGATGGAATCTTCCATTCTCTCTATACCTGGGTTGATCTACTATATGTATTGGTTCTGGAGGTATAGTAATAGCGACACTACCTAAACCAACACTGGGCATCGGGCCCTTCGCTACAGACACTGTAGTCTTGGCTACCTCTGTTGTTACTGCTTCTGATTTTGAACTAGGTACTTTTTCAAAAGTTGATTGTGTTGTGACAGGGATAGTTTGCAAAGCAGCTGAAATATACATACTCTGATCTGCCATACTCGGAATTTCCAAAGCTTTCATGGATGGAGTAAAAATTGGTTGCATAGGCTGGGGAATCTGTTCTTTAGAAGGTGCTTCTAAAGGCCAGCTGGTAACAGCCTGACTAGTGATAGCTTCTGTAGGAGTTCCAGGCTCAGATGGCAATGTGATGACAACATAGGTTTCCTGTGAGGGTTTTGTCAACCTTGGTGATGATTTGTTAGAGTGTGGAGACAAAGGGGATGTGGGAGATGCTATTTTGTATTCAGCTGAAGAAACCAAATTCAGAGTCATAGTTGAAGTCAATGACAAACCTATTGGTTTCACCTGTGTTTCTGCTGGCTTATGAACAGTTATTGGGAGTGGAGGAACCGCTGGTTTAGGAGCAATTGGAGGTTTTGTTACCTCAGTAGGCCTGTGACTGAAAACGAGCCCTGCTGGAATGGAGGATGGTTTGGGTGGTACAGGAGGTGGTGTTGGGGTGTATGTTTTTGTGATAGGTACCACATGATTCTTTAAAACAGCTGTGGACTCCAGTGTTGCAACACTTGTGACTGAAGGTACCATTGTGGGTGCTGTTGTCACTGGAGTCTTAATCTGTGACTTCTTTTTCGGATAAATGGCTGGTTTGGGTAAAATAGGTGGAGGTAATGGTGGAGGAGGTGGTGGTGGAGGAGGAGTAGGTGGGGATGGAGAAGGTTGTGCAGAAGAATCCAAAGAAGAGCTTCTAAAAAGTGAAAATATTTTGGATGTTGGAACAGGAGCTGAGGAAGGCACAGAGACCATGCTGGTCTTACTTACAACACTGGGAGTAGGTACAGAAGATGTTTCTGATGCAGGCTCTTTAACTTGAACTGATGCTATATGTGTGGGTGGTTGCTCAGATGTAGCACCAGTCAAATTAATCTTTGTCATATCAACGCTCAATTCTTTGTTTAAATCTTCATGATGAATTTTGACAATGCCAGCCTCTACTGTACTTTTCATTTTTCTAGCTGCAACCTTTTCTGCTTTGGAGGTATCAAATGTAATGGTATCAGTTGCATATTGCTGGGGTTTTGTAACTGTAGTAGACACTAATGAAGGTGCAGTTTCAGGCAAACAAACTGCAGCTTGATCCACCTTCTCCATATCTGAGGCTATAGCTGGCCTTTTAGTGGCTCCAGCAACAGATTCATAAGGCATGCTCACCTCAGAGTACTCTTTTGTAGATGTTAAGGGAATTTGGGCTATTATCCTGACATCTTCAGAATCTGCTAGTTTACTTACAGCATCTGCTGTATCTACATAACCTGTGGTTGCACTATCTATAGGTGATGAACTATCTGTGGTACAAACTGAAGATGTAGATGATGTTAAGGAAGCTGTATCAGAGGGTAAAACTGATGCAGCACCTTCTGATGTTTCAGAGTATGTCAACATTGATGTTTCATGAGAAATTATTTCTTGAATTTCTCTGGCATAATCTGTTAAGTATTCATCTTCAATTTCCTCTGCTGTAAAATGCTGAGTTATTTTAACATCTGGAATAGAAAGTGCTGTGCTACTGAGAGATGATACATCTGAGATTACTGAAGTAGTGCTTGACGTTAAAGATGTACTATCCACTGCTTCTCCAACACTAGATATCTTTGTATCAGATGTAGGAACAAAACCTGAAGTTGGCTGTGTTGGACTGGACCCAGGGGTTAGCTGCATTCTCTGTCTTTTCATAAGCTCTTCATAAGCAGCTTCTGCATCTAACAACTGCTTTTCCTCAGTAGTGGAATTTACTGTGCTGTCTAATACAACTATTTCATGACTTTCTGGAATAATATAAGAGCTAGAAACAATATCTTCTTGAGGCACAATTGAATGTAAAGGCTCTACACTATAGTAGTCTTCCTGTAGATCAGTAATTTTCTGTGGTTCTTCATAGATCTGTTCTGAAGCTCTTATTTTTTTCTCTTTTCCTCTCTGCTGTATATACTCATTATTCTCATCTTGTCTCATTACAAGATTAGTATCAATAGTTCCATTGTAGGTATCCTCTACTAAAGATTCATAAATATAATCCTCTATTAGCATTCCACCATATAATGATTCTTTTTCAAACACCTCATCTTTTTCATTTGAAATTGGAAATGGCTTGGCCTTATGGGTCTTATGTATCATTTCCTCATATACCTCTTCAGCACTTTTCAATGTCTTTTGACTGCTTTCTTCTTTTGGAACTCCAACTGGTTGTTCATCTGTTGGTGAGTATAGTGAGACAGCAGTAGGCAACTTGTAAACTTTTTGAACTTCTATTATCTTTTCTGGGCTAATTTCAAATCCTTCAGGATCTGACTCAATACTAGGTGAATATTCAGAACAGGAAGATCTGTGAAGCTCTTCCATTTCTGCTGCCTGTCGTAATTCTTCTGTTGGAGATGCATCTTCAATGGGAGAAAGATTACTTGGAGGAGTCTTTGGACGTTCCCTTCTTCTCTGAGCTCTCAGTTCATCCTTGTCTTTTTTAGATTTCTTGCTAGAACTTTTTCTTTGTTGCTGTTCTAACTCACGCTGTTTCTCTTGTTCCTTTAGCAATTCTTCCTCTTCCCGTAGTTCTTCTTCTTCTGAAGAATCTTCAATAGTTGGAAGAAGAGGACCATGTGACCTATGCCTAGCTTTGCGCTGTTGCTTGCTCTCCCCTCCTAGTTTTTTGTGACTAGGACTGCTGTCGCTGTCTTCATCAAGTGATGACACTGAAGTGGGAGATGTACCTGGTGTGAAACTTGAAGCATGTAAACTAGAAGACCCTTCTCCTCTAGATCTGTCTTCTGGTGAATCTGTAAGACTCTCCATCTCTAGCTCAGGTTCTTCATCAAAATATAAGATACCTTTCTGTTGTTCAGAAGCCTCAGAATATTTGTTTGTTATTGTACTATTTAATTCTATTGTTTTGAAACGCCGAAGACCTCCTCCTCCTGTTACAGCAAGTTCCTCACTGTCTTGACTTTTAGTTTCCCTGTACTTTGGTTCTGGACTTTCATCAAAAGTCTCATCATCATCATCATGCCATGAATGTCGTCTTCCTGCATCCTCATCATAGCCTGCACTACTTTTCCGTGCCATTCTTCTATGTTTTCCAGCAGTTCCTTTGGCTTTGCTTTTCACATCTTCTTTTTTTTGGCTTTCAGTTACACTGATCTCTTTGAGCTGATTTCTAATGAACTCATCATCTTCAGAACCTGAGGCATCTTCATCAGCACTCATCTCTATAATTTGTTTTCTAATGAAGTCTTCCTCATCACCCGATCCCTGACTGTCATCTCGTTTGTACTCATCACTACTTGAAGAACCAACACTAGCTCTTCTTTTTCTCCTTGGGACAGGTGAGTTTTCACTCTCACTGCTATCTTCCACAGAATCATACCGTTGCCTTCTTGCTGGTATGTCATCCCCTCCATCTCCTTCCTTGTATTCAGCTTGGGAGGAAGCACTTGCTTTGCCATCTTCTACAATGGTTCCTTCACCTTCATGAATAGCTACTAAGTCTTCCTCATCCGAACTGTAAGATTCTGGAGTGACTGGCAAAGGCTTTGTTTTATGCTGTTCTTTTGTCTGTTCACTGTATGTTTCATAAAGTTCTTTATTCTTCACAGATTTTTCATCAGAAAGTGTACTTGCCTGAGCTTCCAAAATAGACAGGACAGTACTTTCCAATTTAGCTAGATCCGAGGGGCTCGGTGGACTTTCTTGTGAAATAGGGTCTTTTTTACTAGATTCTCTGAGTAAATCCTTTTCATCACTGGGGATATGACTTGGAATTTCACCAAGTGAACTTGATATCCCATCAGAAGAATACCCGGTGTCACTCAGACCTTGTGGACTTTTCTGTTGCTGAGAGCTTGATGTGTCTGATTTGTCATCCTCCTTTTCCTAAAAAAATAAATACATATGCATGTGTATATACTTATATATACATTCTTAATGTCTCCAGGCAATTAAATACGTGTCTATTTTTTTTTCTAAAAGATGATCTAATGTCTCAGATGAAAAAAATATTCTAAATCAAATTATATTAAACCATAAATGACTGACCATGAATTCTGTTTTGCAAACCTATTAAAACAATACTAAAAGATCCTCAAATTCTGAGTTTTGACATTTAGCTATGTTTTACATGACTGTCCACATCAGCAACTAGTTTCATCAGTTGTAAGATTATCTTTTGTTTATAAATACAACCAAATACTGTAGTTAACTGTTTTCAGAATCCTATCTAATGATAATCTATAATTGTGTAATATACTTTTTTTTTTTTTTGGGGGGGGGGGGGTAATTTAAATTAATATTTAATTACTTTTGCTTCAAAACTGCCTACACATTTCTAGATATAAATATAGCTTGCCAAACATCATCCTGCAGTATTTCTGGGGCTTGCTTTTTTTTTGTTTGTTTGTTTGTTTTGGTTATTTTAAGTGTTATTTTGGTCAATTTGAGTGTTATGCATTGCAACATGCATTGGAACACATGGAGTACGGAAGCATGAGTTCATATGATCTGGAAAGTCCCCATATCTTCAGTTCGGTACTGTACAACCACTTTCTGAAGAGCTCATAAAAATAATAAAAAAAAAATCAGTAAATTTGTAATGCAGAGGTAAGCTGCTGCTAGGGAAATGTAATTGAAGGGATTTAAGCAAAATGGTCAGCTACTGATCAAAGGAAATAAGGAAGAAAAGGCAGGCATATGCAACTGAACATCACAACCAATATTTTCCTTCTTATTCCTAACTAAATACACTTAGTCTTTCTCTAAGATTCCTTTATACCACTCTGAATGACACACAACTCTATCTCCTTATTTGGATAACAAAAATACCAAGAACATCCTACAGCAAATATTTTCATACCAGAGTTTTCCTCATCCCAGCTATGAAATGCCTCCTCCCAGTTTCTCCCAGATGCAAAATGCAATATTTTGTGAAAGAATTTCATGATTCAGCTAATGAAATAGCTCACTCTCCAAATGACAGGTCATCTTAGCTGTTATTTTAGCTGGTAATCTTACAAAGTGTCCCAGTATCCACTAGTAATTTGAGGATAAACATCCCAAAGTCTTCTGATTTTAATGATATGATGTGATGTTCATATTTTTATGGCCCTCATTAATACACATGGAGGAATTTGTCAACTTTCCTAATCTAAGTCAATAATTTCTGAAGTAGGTCTAACCTTCTATTTAAAGCTTTATCAACTTCCTTAGCAATATATTGAGTTAAAAGAAGAAAGAAAAAAAGAAAAAAGAATACACTAAGAAAATCATGACAGTGCTAATTATAATTTGAATGTAACTTTAAAATTTGCTCGGTAATAATAATAATAAATATTTCTAAGGATAACTCTAATGATTAAGCTGTGATTAATCATAATCATATTGGACAAAACTCCAATAATACTCCAAATTAATTTGGGAAGTCATCACCACTTCAACACTTCATCACTCTTTATGGAAAAGGTACACTTGGATATTCTTCAGCCCAAATAATTGCAGATTTATTTATTTATTTTTATTTTTGTTCCCTCTACTAAATAAAAAAATATTTAAGGGACATTGCTTAGATTATTTAAAAAAAATAACCAAACCAAACCAAAACAGAATCCATTAAAACCCAAGTTATTTTTTCATCTAGAAATATGCCCCCTGTAACAATTTCAGCAATTATATTTAATCATTATTTTATTTCCAATATGTCCGTATTTATAAAAACATGTCCAATTGCACACACTGGGATCAATTTGGATTAGCTTCTAGAAAACTCAAACATTGTTCAAGCTCAGAAGGTCTCCTAGAAGTTGATGGACTAACTGTGAAAGTGAAAGCGAAATCTCAGAAGTGAGATCTCTGTGATAGTGAAAGTGAATCTCAGAAGAAGATCCTATAAGATCTCAGATCTTAGTTCTCCATAGGGAGGTGAAGTGGTACAATGACTTGTAAAGTAGAGACAAAAGGCATCAACACATTAGTTAAGATCAGAAAGAGATAGGCAAAAAGATAGTGGACAAGGAACAACCTTAGGCATTCTTCTTCTAATCTGTAATGGTACCATTATCTCTTAATCCAATGTGTGGTATCCAATGACCAACCAAGAAGATATGGAAATGAGTATTATTATTGCCTGCCCTGTTGTTGGACCTCAGTGTATGACACAGCATCACTGCTATTAGTAATAGGAAACCGTGGTGGGAAAAGTGTTATTTGTACAGTAATGAGAAGAAAAAGTTCTACAGTTACTAGAGACTTTCTTTATCACTAATAATGAAGGCGATAAGAAAATCCAGCTTTCTTTTTTAAGGCTACTAAGATAAAAATACATTTTCTATTACTTTCATATGTAGAATTATCTTTCCTGTGATTTGCCTTAAAAAAATTATTCTGCACATCATGTTTTGAGGTCATATGCTTGCAACATATAATAAACAATCTTTAGTCTTGGTGCATTTTTTTTTGCCTTTTTTATGCAGCCTGAGAACTAAGACATTGTCATTAGCTGCATCTGTTCTTAAATGTAATCTGTTTTGGACAATGTTAGCATGTATGTATCACACACAAAGACATCATTGCCAAACTTGTAAACATATGATTAAACATAAGATTTTTAGAATAACAAAATACTGAGGAAAGTATACTGTTGTTAAGTATCATACATATATGCATCATGTATCAACTCTTAGAGATGAAAAATGCATTTAAGACAATAAGAGAAAAGCACACTTCTGCTGGTGAAGTGGGAAGTACTTTGGTTCATGTTGAAATACTGGGCATTTCTGAATAATTTAATGGTGTTTCTTTTCTGAAAGTTTGCCTATTCAGTTTTTAGTACTTGACAAATTTAGCTGTAATATATATGCAATGATGGAAGAATCTTCTTGAGACGTGATGAACGAAAAGACATATAAATGCTATAGGCTGCTGTTGACTATTAAGAAACAACAGATGCAATCTCTTTAACTTGTACCAATCATAAATATGATCTAATGTAGAATGCATTCCTACTTTTCCAGAGACATCTACAGTTCCAATTAAAATACAGCATGCAACTATTTTTCATTAGAAGCTTTTTCCTTTAGAAACTATTTATTCCTTCAGTTCCTCACTTTTAAAATTATTTTAAAATAAGTGACAGGAACTGCTTTAAAGTGCTTTAAAAACTCAAATTAGTTATCAGATTAAATCAGAACTCCTTTAAAAGAAAACTGTGATGTTAAAAAAGTCTTGTCAGTTTTTAAAATTATTTATAATTAGCAAGATTACATTCGGTTGCAGAAATTTTAATTTGCAGAGGAACTCATGATTTTAAAAAGGTCATTCTCATTATAGAATAAATAGACATATCCCATATCCAGTTTGTTTAAAGAAAAAAAAAAAAAAGAAAAGAAAAAAGAAAAAAGAAAAAAGAAAAGAGAAAGAAAAGAAAAAAAAAGACTGGTTGAGTAAACTGTTTCTACCTGTGCCCACAAAAAAAAAATGACTACAGACAAGCCTCTTCCTTCTTCTGGCTCTCTGGTCTGTGTTTTGTCACTAATATCACACATCAGAATTATGATTCCAATTTGCAGTATACTAATTTCTATCCAGTTATTCAACATTAGCACATGATCATTCTTCAGCAAACATGAGAAGACAGTAATTAGGACACTTACATAATATAGCTGATGTGTTGTAATTACATTTCCAACTCACTGCATTGTAATGTGTTCATGTACATATGGTAAACTTCTTGTATTTGGGTCCAAAGACAACTGTTTTATATTCACAAAATTATATGTCATAATATAGTGTTAGAACACCTAAATACTACTGCACATTAAAAGACAGTTTATCAGGAAAAAGACCTGTAAATCATAAATCATGAGCAAAGATAGTTTGTTCCTTGACATCTGTTTGAAGAAATTATAGATTAAAATACTACTGAAAAAGGAACATTTGAAGGAAAAATTGCTTTATGATACCTACAATCTTAATTTGAGGCCCAAATTTTTAAAATATTTAAATATTTGACTCACATTTATTTCAAAGGATGGCAGATCTCTAAATAAAATTGAGGTCTGTGGGAGATTTTCCAAGGCTCATTCCAGTGATTTTACTGTATCAGAACCTTTAACCTTTTATTATTTAACCATCCAAATGGTATCAGTGTGCAACACTTAAATTGTTCTTTCATTTTCCATTTCTGTCATAGGATTTCTTCCTCTCTTGAGAAAAAAAAAATGTATCTAGAAATATACAACGTAAAGCACAGTAAACATTAAAAAATTTAATAACATTCAGAAATCTTTTTTTTTTTTCTTTTTGCTTGAATTATTTTTCCAATGAGCAAAAAGGGGGTAGGTGTTTTTTTGTTTGTTTGTTTGTTTTTGTTTTTGTTTTTGTTTAGGGGGGAGGAGATAGTGAGGGGAAGAGAACTGTGTTTAAAATTAGCTATTCCTTTTTCATTCATTCAGTTGTTTTGTATTTCAGAGTGCTCTATTTTTAAAAATACCTAAAAGAGGATATCTATGCATTTTCTTTTTGCATTAATCTATTATACTTTCTAATCTTTATCTAAGTGTTCTTCAAAATCCAATAACACAAGTAAAAGAAAGCTAAAGACAGTAGGAGCAAATAAAACATAAGAGAAAGAAAAGTGAAATATAGGCATGTGAGTACCTCATAATATATCAACGGATAATTAGAAATCATCAAGTAATTTACAATAAAAATGTGTTGCAATCAGAGACAGAATCAAGTATATGTATCTTAGATTTGTCTGGAGTGCCACATGCTTTCTCATCTTTGTAGAAAACAAAAATGACAATGAAATGAAAACAGGATTGAGACTAGTATGTGATAAACTTTTCCTTAGAGATTTTTTGAACATAAAAAATAGTATTTCTAACAAGAACATCAAAAAATCTGTCTACTTCAGTTTTCAGAATTTGTCCAGGAAAAGAAAAAAAAAAAAAAGAAAAAAATGCAGAAGAGACATTTTGTTAAATTAAGCTTGCTCTTCTTGGAAAATCCTGCAATAGTGCCTCATGTCTAATATAAATTAATCAAGCTAATATTCCCTGTTGTTAGATCTCCTTGTTTCTTCCAGAAGGGAGGACTCTGGCTATGTTACTCGGATCATAATTGACATTCCCTTGGTACAATCAGATGATATCCTATCTTTTGATACCATGAAGAGGAGTGAACACATCATGTGATGGGATTTGCATCTCAGACAGGGAATTTGATTTCTAAAAATAATCGTATTTTTAACAGAACATGCCACAGTACAATTTCCAAATCACATTATTTTTCTGGTCAAATACCTTGGTTATCAAAAAAAAATAATAGAAAAACAAAACAAAACAAAACATTACTACATTACTTAATGACTGATATTATTAGGAAACATAATTTTGGCAAATGTTAAAGTCTTCTTCAACCTACTCCTAGTTTTCTAACATAATGATCAACACCTAACTTGCAGTACTGAAACAAAAACAAACAAGCAAAAAATACCCCACACACATGATTTGTAATTTCTCAACAAATTTTCTACGTTACCCACTTAAGCAGGTAAGTTATTGTTGTAAGTACTTGTTACTGACTTCAGATTCAGAAAATAAATTTTTTAGAAATGCAGCCATCTAATACATATTATCATAAACTCATCCATTGATCTGACTTGACAGCCCACCAAAAACCCAACTTGAAAGTAGTTTTCCACTTGGGATAGGCAAATGAAATAGTAAAAAGATGTAAAGGTTGCATACATTAACATACCATGCTCAGAAATCACAATATATTCCTCAAATGTTTATTATTGGGATCAGCATTATTTAACAGCTTTGTTGGAGACTTGGACAGTGGGATTGAATGCACTGTGAACTAGTCTGCAGACAACACCAAGCAAAGTGTTGCACTCGACATGCTGGAGGAAGGAATGCCATTCAGACGGACCTGGAGAGGCCTGAGAGTTGGGTCCATGCAAACCTTGCCAACAAGACTAAGTGCAAGGCTCTGCACCTGGAACAGCGCAATCCCGAATATAAATAGAGGTTGTGTGGAGAATGGACTGAAAGCAGCCTTGAGGAGAAGGGCCTGGGGGTGCTGGTGGATGAGAAGCTCAACATAAGCTGGCAATGTGAGCTTGCAGCCCAGAAAGACAACTGTATCCTGGGCTGCATCAAAAGCAGACTGGCCAAGGGAGTTTATTTTCCCCCTCTGGTTGGCTTTCATATGACCCAACGTGGAATGCTGAATACAATTCAGCTCAGGGGGTCCAGCACACGAAGGTCATGAACCTGCTGGAAAGAGTCTAGAGGAGCACCATGAAGGTGATCAAGGAGCTGGTGCACCTCTTATGAAGACAGGCTGGGGAGCTGGAGTTGTTCAACCTAGAGAAGAGAAGGCTCTGGGGAGATCTTTTAGCGACCTTCCCATACCTAAAGAGGACCTACAGAAAAGCTGGGGAGGGACTCTTTGTCAGGAAATGTAGTGGTAGGACAAGGGGGAATGGCTTTACACTGAAAGAGGGTAGATTTAAATTAGATATAAGGAAGACGTTCTTTACTCTGAGGGTGCTGAGGCACTGGAACAGGTTGCCCAGAGAAGCTGTGGATGCCCCATCCCTGGAAGTGTTCAAGGCCAGGCTAGAGGGGACTTGGAGCAACCTGGTCTAGTAAGAGGTCCCTGCCCGTGGCAGGGGGTTGGAACTGGGTGATCTTTAAGGTCCCTTCCAACCCAAACCATTATATGATTCTCTTTACATTCTTTATTGTCAAGTGGTCTAAAGAGCCCCTGCAAAGTCGTGTTGACTGAGGTTTGCCACAAGAATGGCAGGCAAGAGCTCAGGTGAGACAGTGAGTACGAATGACAGCAGCTCTCCAGAAACCAGGATGCTGGTCTTTTCCAGATGGGACAGAAGAGAACATGCTGAAATCACTGCAAGAGGACCTTTGAAGGACCTCGTGACAAACCAGCCTGGTTTTGATACATACAATAGTACTGGGCTGTTTTGAAATCATTTCATTTTGAAGAACGCATTTCTCTTACGAAATACCTCCTGCTTTATAGCAAACTGACTGTTGTGGGCTTGCTGATCATGCTTGTATTGCTAAATAAAAGAAGGCAGGAATAGTTGTCTGGCCCTGAGCCTGGCTGGCCTGGCACAGCTTGCAGTAGAGTGCCCAACCTCCCTTCCCCTGCAGAGCACTGCACTAGATCTGGCCCATCAGGCTGGATAAGCAACCTCATCTAGTGGAATATGTCCCTGCCCATGGAAGGGAGTTTGGAACTAGATGACCTTTAAGTTCCATTCTGATCCAAACCATTCTACGATTCCATAATTATACTTTGGTAGTGAAAAACACAGCACCTTTTGCCATCACATCTCATTTGCTTTTGTGATTAAGAACAATGAAAATGTTCCCACTTCAACAATTAAACTCCAAAGCCTTGAGAGTCCATGGAAGCAGGTAAATAAATCAGAAGTATTTGAAAACTGTTTGAACAGAAACTTTGATTTACTTTCAAATGCTTAATTATTTAAATGGAAAATCATGCCAGAACTATTTGAAAGTTGCACTTAAACAACAGAACTAACTGGTAACTCACTCTTATCAAACAGGAGTCATTGATTTTATCATTAAGAATCATCTTGTACAGAGAATAACAATAAAGATACAGGGAGGGAAGGAAGACACAGAGTCCATCAGAATCAGATTCTAAATTGTAGCAAAAAGGGAGGGAGGAAAGGAGAAAGAAAGAAAGGGAGGGGGAAAAAGCCACTTACCATTTTTTCTCTCACTGTTTCCACATGGTCAGATCTTAGCACACGTGACATTTGAACGGGAGTTTCTTCTTCCTCAGCTTTTTCAGCTTTCAAAACCATTTGGGTAATCCCAGTTGTCAAATCCTCTTTCTTAGCATCCTCTTGTTTCTTTGCATACAGTTCCTCACAAGGTGCTTCAACTTCTCCCTTATGTACAGCAACATGGTCTTTTGCCTCAGCTATAATTTGCTCTTTTTTGTCCTCGGAATGCGGTGCCTTCTTTTCTGGGAGCAGAGGTTTTTTATCTTCTTCAAATTTGCTTAAAGTTTTCTTTTGATCTGGACTTACTGTTGCAGGAATTTTATCTGCTGAAAGTGTCTTTGACAGCTTTTCTTGCTGAAGTTTTGATTCTTCTTTTTGAGCTTCCTGTTGGATTTTCTCCACTGAAGAAGCTTTTGCAATTTTCACATGTTGAAGATTTGGATCTTCTTTCTGAATTCCATGTTGAATTTTATCAGCTGAAACAGCCTTTGACAATTTCACCTCCTGAAGTTGTGCATCTTCCTTCTGAGCTGAAGGCTGGATTTTGTCAGCTGATAGTGCCTTTGCCATTTTCATCTGTTGGAGTTTTGGGTCTTCCTTCTGAATTCCATGTAGAATTTTGTCAGCTGAGGGTAACTTTGCCAATTTTGCTTCTTGAATTTTTATGTCTTCCTTCTGAACTCCATGCAAAATTTTATCTGCTGAAGATGTTTTTGCCAGTTTTGCCTCTTGAAATTTTGTATCCTCCTTTTGAACTCCATGTAAAATTTTATCAGATGAGGGTGTCTTTGTCAGTTTTGTTTGCTGGAGTCTGGGGTCTTCCTTCTGAGAGACACGTATTTTATCAGCTGAGGGTGTCTTGAAAAGTTTGCTCTGCTTAAGTTTTGCATCTTCTTTTTGAACTCCTTGCTGGATTTTATCATCTGACAATGTTTTTTCCAACCTCCCCTGCTGAAGCTTTGGAACTTCCTTCTGAACGCCTGGTTCTTCTTTAGGTTTTGCGGCTGCTGGAGTAGGCGGTGTGGAAGTCTTCTGAGGGGAATGTGAGACAGCAGGCACAGGCTGTTTTTGAGGAGTTGCAGGTGGTTTAGATACTGGTTGTGAAGGGCCTGGTTTTGGAAGTGGCACCTTGCCCATATCCCCAAGTTGTCCTGACATTGCCCTTTGGGTCTGGCAGTTTAAGCACAGCCATTCCTGTACCTGTGATACAACAAACATATGAAGTTACTTATTTGAAAACTTAACAGTAAAATCATGTTGTGTTTTCAGCTGGTACAGTTGCCATTAAAATACTTGTAAGCTCTATGCTATGCACACTGAACAGGCCTTTTCTTTGTCTGCTGCTCCTGCAGGATGATCCACAATACCTTTCTAAAAAAAAAATGAAGTATGTCATGTTCCAGAAAGCCTGGCTGAACAAAAAGAAAAATAGATTGTGAAATGTAATAATTACATTGTCCCTAAGTATTGATGACCTTTATGTACAAAGTTTGCTTATGTATTTCTAAAAACTTTTTTTTTTTTCCCTGAAGACTATAATCCACCAAAATCTGCCTCTAATTTCATAAGTCTGAGTAAAAGAAGATGAACTGGGATTCATGGACCTTTGTGTTTTTCTTCATAAATGATGTTCCTTTCTTGAATTTGTGTGTATGTATCACTGGTTAAGTTAGTAACCCCAAAGAAAGTATATGTTTGCTCTCTTTACTACTTAATCTCTGCTGAATACTGTCTTTTACTCTTCTTCACAGAAAATCAGTAAGACAAGGACACGTCTGCAAAAGATCTTATTGCCAGTTGCCTAGCTACTACATGAGACAGTTTCCAGTGGGTTTTGGGGTACAGTTTCTTTAGAACAGCAAAAAGAAATTTTAAATACAGAAAACTAACTAACCGAACAACTAGTATTGTGCTACCCCTTTGGATAAAAAAAAAAAAAAAAAAAGAAGGGAAAAAAAAGATTAAGCTACCAAGTTAAATGTAAATGACAAGAATTTCAGATGAAATGACAATTGAATGTGAGATAAAATCTAACAACCTTGGGTAGGTAGGCTAGTTTTGTTGAAGTGCAGCTAAAGTCTATTTAATGTATAAAATGTTTTTATTTGAAGAAATTAATGTTGGGTACAAGATTGCATGATGGCATACACTATCATTCAGGTCATCTAACAATTGCCTTATGTATTAATTTTCTACTTCTATAGAAAATGATCAAATTAATGAGTCCTGTTACTTGACACAAATACATATTTATAAAAAAACATTTGGCAATGTTGTCCCAATAAATGGAGTTTATTCACTGAATCATCTGTCTCTAAATGCAGTCAAGGCCCTAATAGTTACTATACCTTTTGTAATTCCTAACTGAATGCAGATCTGTATAAGACTATTAGATTTATTTTTTTTTCTGTAGATAAAAACACTAAAACATTAAAATATAACCCTCCAAAGGAGATAATAGGAATAAAAACAGCTTCATTTGTGAAGAATGTGCAAAATAAAAATTAGCTTTCTTGAAAATACTCCTGTTAGGGATTTCCCTGGATTTTATGTATTTATGTATTTATTTATTTATTTATGTATTTATTTATTTATTTTTAACTATAGCTTCCTTTCTTTTTGGTGTGGCCTGTTTAGAAATTAGAAATCAATACTGGAAAACATAACTATGCTGTGAACTATGTTTTATAACCTAAAAATGGAATTAATACATCTAGAAACTAATTTGGTCTTAAATCCACAAAAATTATGATAGTAGTACTATCAGGAATTCTAAATATACCAGATATTTTTTATTATAAATAGAACACAGAATAAAGAAACGATTTCATAGTATTTTTTGATTCTTTTCTCAGAAAGACTGAAAAGGCTACTACACAAAGCTGACTAGATAATTATGACAGCTTATTTTTATTTTAAAGTTATTGTAGATTCAAAAAGACCAATAAATTCTTTCACAAAGTAGGCAGAAATGTTACCATTACTACTTGTGTCAATAGCGCTTATTTCAGTACAGAACATGGGAATAATACTCAAATGTTATTAAGCTTCTCAGAAGCTAGCCTTAACTATCTTTTACTTCATTAAAAAATAATAAATAATAATAATAATTGTCTTCTACCATGAAATAATCCATGGGTCAAGAGTTTGCTCCATTTCACATACTTACTACATTTAATGAACATGCTACTTTATACATTAAATGCACAAGTTCTTCTCCCAGTTCCATTTCTGCATGATATTGTTTCCATTTATTTCCTGGTAACACATTTCTTTTGTAGGGTCTCTATGCTTGTACCTTTTGTACACATCCGCATTTGACTCATCACTTTTTCTAGCTTTGTTGGTAAGGTAGCACTTAGTACCTCTGCAACTGTAGCCTCCATTGCTCATACACATGCCCCTTCTTAGATTCAAACACAGTAGAGCTGAAGACATCATAGAACAAGTCTCTTAAAAATGAAAGTAGCAGTAATAAATATGAGCAAAGGCAGTTGATGATGAGTGAATTGGCAAATTGTGCTAAACCTTGTCAAGAGATGGAAGTTCTAATCTTGCCTTCCTGCCATACTGATGTAAGTGGTGCTAGTGAAATGACCTGGAATTGTCTAGATACACAGTGATTTAATGAATCTTGCCATTGTTGTCTTCGACTTTTGTTATATTTGTATCTAATTATCACTTCTTTTTTTTCTTTTTTTTTCTTAGGGTTGCTATGTAGGCATGGAAAATACATCTCTCAAGCTACGTGTTTTAAAATGCAATCTTTTTATAATCATGAAGATATTTGATCACAAAATAACCTATACAAATCTTATATCACCAGCCCTCTAGCTCCTAATTCACTGTCAGAATGGTTCTCTGTAAATTGAATTTTGTACCATGAAGTCATATGCCTCGGTTTAAGACTCAACTTTTCCTCAGTTAACCTCATGCCCTGAATGCTAGTTTTTCCTTAGGCTATCTTTTCAGTTAGCCTGTCAACCCAAATTATTAGGACTTGGGAAATGGACATAATCTTCCTTCAGCAGTCTTCACTAGATAAATTGTAGTTCTTTACAGAAATATTCACACTCCTTGGTTCCTGAATTGGCAGTAGACATTATCCTTGGTATCACAAGCAATATCAATGTGCTTTAATATTCTAAGTCTGTGGCTCTCCCACTGTGTTTTCCAAACAAACTCTTATTGCTGGACAGTACAAAGAAGCTGTGTTACAATGTCCTCCTCATTTGGTTTTATAATAAACAAATTCCATCGTGAAAAGTTCATACATCTAACATTCATTGCAACTGTTAATTTTTTAAAGTGTCATGCAAAGGCTCAAGCATTTCAGTTCCTTTGCTTTTGAAACTGCCACAATGCCAGAGGAGTTCAAGTTGAAAACAATAGGTCTACTACTCCATCTCTCTGCCGTTCAAGGATTTTTCATTGCAGTATGTTGATGGATACTGCAATGTTGATAGATAGATTACCCTCTCCTGGCAAACACCAATTGGTAAACTAACTGAAAGTAACTCAAAGTACCTAATGTATTTGTTAAGGTGAAAATAAACACTTCCCACAGAACATCTCTAAATTTACCTCTGAAGTCAAATGTTTTAGTTTCATTTGGAGGCCAAATAATTAATTTCTTTGTCATGTCTGGAGCATACCTTTATCCCTTCCTAATTCTTCCTCCTCACTGCTCTTAGTAAAGCAAAATAATAAAACTAATATAGGAACAGAAGAAAGGATGAAGCACATCTGTGAAAAAATAAATTATGTTAGCTTTCACTACCTAATATAATCACATTATCAAACAGAATCTTTATGGAAAACCATGTACTAAATATAACTGTAAGATATATATAATCCATCCAAACCAACTGACACACAGCTAACCTACATATAACTCATATCTGCTCTTACTTATTTTAAGAAGAACTGCTCCTGGTAACTACAGCTGTATTAGTACAACTCAAATGTTTACAAAGTTTTAGAAAATAATTTGAAAGATAAGTGAATTGATCCTTGTGACAAAGAAAAGGGCCATATGCTAAAAGTCAATACATATTTACTAGAATAAGACTGTATCATATAACTTTTTGCTTTTGAAAGTATCATTTATTTTACAAGTAAAAATTAAACCATTACACGCTCAACATACCTGGAATACCAGAAAAATAACTGAATCTGTGACACCATGAAATGATTTGTCAAATTAAGAGAGATGAGTAAATTGCCAGGTAGAAAAAAGATCTCCTGTGGAGGAAAATGACCCTAAATTCTTTACATTTTACATTTTAGTTATTTAAAGTAGAGTGATAAATGAGTACATAAGGATATAGAAGAAGACACATTGGCCTTGACCAGTAAACTGGATATTGCCTATTTATTCCCCAAACTGCTCCGGAGTCTTTAAATTCAGTAATGATGTGCAACCACTGCTTGGATCCTCTTTTTTGTTTTTCCCAATCCTTAACATTTTCTATTCAAATTTGTATACTTGCTTACTAACAGAAGCCTCCAGGGACTCTGACTTTCTGAATAGACATATCTTGGATGTTGAAATAATTATTCTGTGGAAGAAAGGTAGAACAATCAGACAGTTATTTCTAACGCCCTAAGATTTGCTTCATCTCCATTAAAAAATTAAAAGTACTCTTGGTACGTTGTCAGCTGATTTGTTATTACTAACGATCCCTTCTTTTTTATCCCCCACCAAACGTTAACACTTGCAAGAAAGTTGCAAACACTGCTGCAAATTACCAGAGAAGTACAAAGAGCCAGTGTTTTTCCTATATGTCAGGATTTACCTGCTCCTCAGATTTAATATGGTGGGGACTATTAAATATTCCATTTTATTTTGAGCAGATGAAATACAGATTACAACAACACAAAGATGACCTACTTCTTCAAGTGATGACAACTCTGAAATGCGTATGCCCTTATACTTCAAGATACATCCTAGCACCTTCAGGAAAAGCTCATTCTTTTTCTTTCTAGGAACTGCTCTGTTTGCAAATTTTAATTTTAGTGATCAAATTTGATAATGAGAATTTTTATGTGTATAATGCCTGTGTATACTTTAATTTGCTTTTAGCTATTTTGCTGAAGGCTCTTCAAGGCTTAGTATTATGCAAGCAATGCACAAAAAGGTATCCCTATTGTATACATCATCATAGACGCGAAAGAAGCAAAGATGTTGAAAAAATAGT